TACGGCCACATCCAGACCTGTCCCTGAAAAGCTCCCAAACCATACACCACACTCTCTCCAACTTTCGGGGGACTAAGGAAGATCCAGCAGAGGGCTCTGAGGCCACAGGGGACTGCGGAGTCACGCGACGGAAGAGCCATGAGACGGAAGGAGGCTGGGTCTGTGCACTCACATGGGATTCACATCAAATGCTTACAGGAACATAATAACTTTGATTAGGTTAGGTAGGGGTGGCCTCTTTTGTTTCTTTTCTTCCATTTTTATTTACAGAAATTTTGAAAAGATAATAAAGGATACATTTATTATACTTAAGGAGTCAATATGGACGCATTATTATTAACCAAACTTCATCATTTGTCTCAAGTTCCTTAGTCTTTCCTGAATGCAGTCCAGGGTCGGATCCAGGAGGCTACCTTACCTTGGGTTACACTGTCTCCTTAAGTTGCTCTAGCCTGTGTAGCTTCTCAGGCTTTCTTTGTTCTTGGTGGTCTTGACTGTTTTGAAGGGTATTGGCCTTGGTCAGGACTTTTGAAAAGTGCCCCACTGTTGGAATCTGGCTGACGTTGCTCTCATGAGAAGATGGGGTATGGATTATTGGGAAGAAAACCACAGAAGCAATGTGCCATCACACACAAGGGTTTGCATTATCACCGTGATTTGTGCCGGCTGCTCTTGACCTTGGCCACCTGACAGAGGTAGCCTCGGTCGGGTTTCTCCACGGCTCTTTCTTTCCCCACCCCAGAGTTTATGCTCTGGGAGGAAGTCACCACGGGCAGCCCAGGCCTAAGCAAAGGGGAGTCATGCTCCCGCTGGGTGGCAGAGAAGGTGCAAACTGTTTAGAATGCTTCTGCGCTGCACACTTGTCTTTCCTCCTCTCTATATTAATTTTTTCTGTCACTTATTTATATCAGTCGGTCCCTGGTGGCTCAGTGGTTTGTGGTTGGCTGTTAATCTAAAGCAGGGGTCCTCAAACTTTTTAAACAGGGAGCCAGTTCACTGTCCCTCAGACCCATTGGAGGGCCGGACTATAGTTCAAAAAAAACTATGAACAAATTCCTATGCACACGGCACATATCTTATTTTGAAGTAAAAAAACAAATGGGACCAAAACACCCGGTGGGCCAGATAAATGTCCTCGGCGGGCCGCATGTGGCCCGCGGGCCATAGTTTGAGGCCTGATCTTAAACTTTGCAGTTCAGATCCACCAAGTGTTTCGGAGTGAAAGCAAACCTCGGTGACCCTCTTCCATAAAGATCAGCGTTAAAAAGCGCATGAAGCAGCTGGACTCTGTCAACATGTGGCTGGGCATGAATCAGACTCAATCCGACGGCAACAGGTTTGCTTTGGTTTGGACTCGTGGATATTTGTTTAATACTCTGGACATAAAATACTTAATTTTGATGCTTACAGGGTCCCTGTCTAGCCAGCCGGAGCTCTCTCGGTTGTCTCCTGCTCTTCTTCAACATGCCCCCGTTCCTGTGGTTTGGGGGCTTGTTTTGTTTTAGCATTTCCCTTCTTTCAGGCATTTCCAGATGGTGCACACTTAATTTGTAGATTGCCGAAAATCAGACGCCATTTCTCCTTCATTCCTTCCTTTGGAAAATGGTCAGAGAAACCAGGTCTGGGCACTGGATGAGCTTACTGATATTGGAGTGTTATGTCTTTTAGGCCCCCGCACCTGACAGCAAAAATATATCTGGGTGTGTTTATACTAGTCGATGTATAGATCTGTAAGTGTTTCTGTACGTAACCATCAGCATCTGCAGTAACTAAACGAATTCCTCATCCCGTGGACCAGTCTCGCTTCCTCTCGGCTTCCCAGAACACTCCCACTCCAACAGTGAGAAACATGGGTCCCCCTGTCTGCCATGCACTTAATTATAAATTGCCGTTGAGTTCACGGGTTCACTCCTGTCTGCAGAAAGCATCGTTCACCCGACTGATTGCATTTTCTGGAGGACAATATCTTCCATCACATCGGTCTTCGCTGCTGCTCCACCATCAAGAAGCGGTTGTGGCCACCTCCAAGAGTAAAGGTGACAGCGTAGGCTGTCTGACGCCAGAGCCTTCTGTGGTAGCTATGTTAGTGCCTGTCAATTTGAGGGTTAAGAGTGTAGGGTGGAGTCTAGCTTGCCAATCAGATCATAGCTAAGGAGGCCTCTGTGTGGGCCTGGCCTTCTGAGAATTCTGGGAAATCTGGGACTTCCTTCTTGGAGGCAGGAGACACTGTCTCTCTCTGCTGACTTCCTGGGAGACAGAGCAGCTGACAAGACACATGGACCCACCCTGATGCAGAGACCCCTGCCAGCACTGGGATGTTTCCAGCGCCACTGGATTCAAAGACTTTCTACCCACTGGCTGTGAGCTTCCTGCTTTCAGCGGCATGGCATGTGCTTCGTGAGTCTGAAGAGGACTTTATAGATTGGTATCAGGCATATGGGCTCGTATCGGACTTATGGACTTGATCTGTACTGGGCTGGGATGTTTTCTCCGTGTTCAATTGCTCTCGTATATAAACCTCCTTGTTATATACATATGTGTGTCCATGGATTTGTTTCTCTAGTCTGCCCAGACTAATACATTTCAAATGTGTCACCCTTTTGTCTGGTGGTCTTGGTACCCCAGAGTCTTGGAACCCCAGAGTCACCAAGCAGATCAGAGGCCGGACAACCTTGGAGGGGCCCGAGTGAGAGGAGTTGAGAACCCGGGCCCTGGTCCTCGGCTCAGTTTGCCACCCATGTAAGGGAACCATTTCGAAAGTGCACCATCCAGCCCCAGTTAAGCAACCCAACAGATACACGCCCCCCCACGCCAAGTCCTGGCAGAGCCGTGAGCTGAAGGAATGGGCGCAGTTGCTTCGTGCCACTGCGTGGCAGGGCGTTTTGTTACGCAGCACCAGGTAACTGAGACATAGCAGGAGGGGCTGCTTGCTCAGTGGATCATCTTGGACAAGTCAGTTACCCTCTCTGAGATTCTGAGCTTTCTCATCTACCAAGTGGTGCGCCGGCGCTCATCTGGCAGCGTTCCCATGGTGCTGAATAGGAGAATATGAAGCATAAGGGGTCATCAGTCCATCAACTCACCAGTCGGTGGCATCCTTGGGGGTCCCTTGGCCACCCCAGCCACAGTAGCAGCCATAGAAGCCATAGTTGGTCAGGGCAGTTTTTCCAGTCACCTTCTCAATCATTGACTTCAGCTCTAACAAGCCCCCTGGCACAGTATGCACACCTGGAAGAGAGCCCCACGTCCCCAGATGAAACGCCCCACGTCCCCAGCACCATCCTGCCCCTTCTCTCATCCCGGGGGTGGGGGTGGGTGGAGGCCCCACGTGGGAAAAGAACAAGAGAGGCCGGGGGAAGGTGCAGAGGGAGGGCGAAGAGTTGTAGCCTGACCCTGCCACTGATTGATGGCACTGTGTTAGACAGGCCACTTAATCTCCCAGACCCTCAGTCTCCACAGCTGTACAATGAGACCCAAAAGCAGCACCTGCTACTTGGGATTGTCTTAAGTGTTGACTAAAACACCTTATGTAAATGTTGACCGCAGCAGCTGACAGATGGTGAATGGTTACAAAATACCAGGTACCGTGAGTGACTAACTTCCTTTCACTTGGGACCATCCACCTCAGCCCGCTCTTATTCCACAAACACCATTTGGCGCTCAAGGCACAGAAACTTGGAGCAGGATGGGACCCTGGGAGAGATTGCCACCAGCTCCCCCATGTTACACATTGGGAAACAGATTCAGGGAGGTCAGGTGCCTTGGCCCAGGTCTCACAGAGAGTTGAAAGGGAAGCAGCCTCAAGGAGCCATTCTTCCATGCCCCACCCTGGCAGGGGCAACCCCACCATCTGTCCAGCTCAGCATCCAGCCCTGATGCGGATGAAGTCTGCGGGGGATATCTAGGGTATTAAGTGTGACGATTCCCGACTGGAATCCCCTACACCACCTCCACGAGCCTGGGTCCCCACTCACAAGAGCTAGCATCTGCTCCACCAATTCTCTGTGCTCAGCACATTCTAAGGACTCCACATGTCTGAACCCGCTTAATCCCTAAAGCCACTGCCACCAGCCCCATTTTACAGAGGAGCAACAGAGGCACTTGTTCAAGGTCACTCAGAGAGGAATGGCAGGGCTGGGGTTCATTCTCAGGCTGTCAGACTCCACAGTCCACCCACCATCCCTCTGGATGGGAGGGTCCAGGTAGCTGCCTGGGACGCTTTGCAGGATCTCCGGGCATGCACAATGGCAACCTGTAGCGTGAGCCGTCCCTTCTCGTTCTCCTGTTGGGACTGGTCCCTCCTGGTCCCTCTCATCCTCTCAGCTGGTAGGACAGCAAAGAGGAAGGCAGCCAGCTGAAGAGTTGTACTCGTGGCTGCAGGGCTGCAAACCCAACACCAAGCTCAATGCCATCCAGTCGATGCCAACTCATAGCGACCCTATAGGACAAAGGAGAACTGCCTCCTGGGAGTTCCCGAGACTGAAACTCTTTAGGGGAGCGGAAACCCCTGCCTCTGGCTCCCGCAGAGCAGCAGGTGGTTTTGACTGCAGGCCTAGTAGCTGTCGGGAGCCCCGGAGGCAGGCGCCTCCCAGGCTGTTCAGTTACCTCTCCGCTGGGAGAGGGCAGCCATGCACTGTGTTGGAGGCTTGGACAAGCCCGAGCAGAGCATGACCCAGGAAGCAGGGGCTAAACTATGTCTTTAAAGGTCTTGGTTTTTACTTGTTTGTTATCATCTTAAATATTTTATTCTGCATCGATGTAGAATGTCCACCTTCCAAGTTTGCTAAGCTTGTCCCCTCCAAGTCACAGCCTGCCGTCATCGTCGTCTCCTGGGACCCTGCCGGAGCCCCACCCTCCCAGGGCCATCATCCCATGGGACAGATGGAGAAACCGAGGCTTATCAAAGAGAAGGCTCTTGCTGGCATCTACACGGTTAGTACGTGCAGAGTTGAGATTTAAAACTCAAGTCTCTACTCCCTCAAAGACGGGTCACCTTCCCCACTGCTGAATACAAGGTCAATGAGCCAGGGGTCACAGGGACAGCACTTACTGCAAGTCAGAAGCCAAGCCAGCATGAGGAGGGCCTTCATCTCTGGGGTCCTGGAAAAGAAAACACATCCCTGTGACATGCCTATCGGGTGACGACTACAGGGCCCCTTCAGACCCCAGCCCTGGCGTTCCACCTGGCCCCAACCCATCCCACTGTACAGGAAACGGGCCAACCCAGGCCTGAAACAAACCAACCAACCAGGGGGTTCCGGGGGCATTTGTAGGGATTTGTAGAGGCAGGAATGAGCTTTCCCACCAGGAGTGCACTAACTACAGACGCCAGACGCACTTGACCCGCTGGGGGACAATGTCCCAAAGTCACCAGAGACAGACGGGAAATGCCTCCGTGGAGACTCTGTGGCCCACGTGGCTGGATGTGGACTTGGAGAAAGAGGCCTGAATGGAGAGCAGCTGGTGAGGAGCAGGTCCAGTGAGAGTGGACGTTGCTGGGGGTGGGGGTGGGGAGTAAGGGTCGGGGAGCAGTTGTTACCCAGATTGGCTCTGAATACGCAACCGAACCAAAGGCTGCCCCAACCTGAATCTTCCTCGTGACCGTGGGCATGGAGAGCCCACTGTCAGGGAGATGGTGCCAGGCCAGCTCAGGGAGGGTGTCCCTGGGTGGTGTTGACCCTGACCGAACCCCTGCATGGTCCTCGCTGCACCCTGGCTGACCTGGTCACTGTGCCCTCACGGGGTCCCTCACCAGGTGCCCTCACTGTGTCCTCTCTGAGTGGCTCCTTCTCTGCACCCCTCCCTGCCTCCTGCTGCACCTCCAGCCTCCCCCTCAGAAGTGTGAGTACTCCTTAGACGGGGTGCTGATCCTCTGAGCGGGAGCTCCTTCCGGTGCTATGCCAGCTGCTCTAGAATCCCCAACAACCCTCCTCGGCATCTCCCTTGACCAAACGCAGCCAGTGGGATCAAGAAAGCAAATAGCTACCACCAGAGGAGCTTCCTCCAGGCTTGGGCTAGGCTGGATTCTAACTGGGTCTCTCAGAAGTTTTGATTTTTAAAATCATTTTGTTGGGG